CTTAGGGAATGTAGTAATTATCCAAAGTATGTAATTATAGTTATGTAGTGGAACCCAATTATTAATTGGGTGTTATTTCGATGTTGACAGATCGGGAATCTATTATCTAGCAGATGGGGTCGAGTCTGCGGGACATCAGCAGGGTGGGATTGAGCCTGTGGGACTTCAGCAATGTGAGGTGAGTTTCCTTCCAGTAGGAACGGGTCTAAGGTCACAATGACGGCCCGTTTAATTAGTAGTAGTTTCTGGACCTCGGTCCGATGCAGTAGGTATAATGTTTGATGCCTTCATGGCTCAGATAGTGTTTATGTGTTATGTGTTCTGGGCTACGACTCGATGCAGTATGCAGTTTATGTGTTCATGCTAGTTGATATCTTTATGCTATGTTATGCTATGCTCAGTTTGTTTCTTGACTTCGGTCCAATGCAGTTAGTTCTGGACTTCGGTCCAATGCAGGGGACAAGGTCCCAGTCAGTTCCGAACTTTGGTCCGATGCAGTTAGTTCTGGACATCGGTCCGATGCAAGGGACAAGGTCCCAGTCAGTTCCGGACTTCGGTCCGATGCAGTTTCTGGACTTCGGTCCGATGCAGTGGGCAAGGCCCAATATATGTTTATATGTTATTGTATGGTATGTGGTAGTTTGGGGGAGCTCACTAAGCTTCGTGCATACAGTTTCAGTTTTGGTTTTAGGTACTCAGTTTTCAAAAGAGGAGCTCGGGAAGATTGCAGTGCACACACCATTTGTTCAGCCTGGGATGTTCGTACTCTGATATATTTGACAATTGTTATAATATTTTGAGATACATTGCTTATGATTTCTATATGAGGTTTATTGACTATGGTTTTGTCATTAAATTAAACAAAATTTTCAGACTGTGTTTTTGGGAGGTTACAGGTTGGTATCAGAGCCTTGGTTTGAGAGATTCGGGCGCACTCCCGAGTGTGTCTGAACTCAAACTAAGGAAGTGGTATAAAGTTTTCAAGAGAAAAACCATGGTTACAAAATAATTTTGAGAAAAGAAAACAATTTTAGAAAAAGTATAAAGAAAAGAGTTTTAGAAAAAGCGAAAATAGTTTTGAAAAAAGAAAATGGTGTGGTGCATGCAATAAGTCGAGCTCAAGTAAGTACTCCCAAATTACCCATTCAAGTTTATGTTATGATTATCAGTTTCAGTTTTAGTAGAACAGCATGCTAGTATAGGACTAAGGATCTAGGAGGATGCCTTATGTGCCTGCTTTATGTGTTTAGCTCTATAAGAATTGCATGCTAACACTGAGTAGATAGCAGTAGGATAGCCTGATTAGGTTATGCCTGATAGTATGTGTTCAACATTGTATGCTAGTACAGTTTCTTGTTATGAGGATAGAATTGCTTGAGTAGTCTCCTGTGTCTGAATGTTGCTTGCTTTGTGCTTTGTGGGACTCGGAGTGATGGGAGCTAGCCATTAGGTGAATATGTCACATCACATGTGATCAGGGTTGAATAATCTCAGAGTGATAGATTTGGCCCTATTGTGCAGCTCTTGTTTGAGTCTAACCGTTGTAGGGATGAGTCTTTTACTCGAAGGATTATCTGAGCCTCGCCACATGTGATGGTATTCAGGTAATGGCTAATTGGCATTACAAGGAGGCCTTTAGCAGCTGAGGACTGGATTGGGTAGAGTCAGAGATTTCGCTAGGGCAAGCCTAGGATGAGAGTAGCAAAGATCAGTAGCAGTAGAAGTGACTTGGTGGAGTCGAGGCAGTACTTGAGGAAAGTGTGGATAGATGTGGAAGGTAGTATGGGCCCGTACTACTAAAAGCAGAGGATCCGTACTCGAATCAAGGAAGACTGAGATGAAACCAGGGAACTTGTAGTGTGTGAGATCCCTCGAGTTTGGATGAGTATTGTGATGTTAGTGATGGTATATTTCCAAGTATAGTGATGCTATGTAGTAGACCAGATAGTAGTTCTGGTGTCGACGAGGGATCCGGCTTGAACTCTGTAGCAGGGCAGCTCGATGATCAGATGAAGGAGTTCATTCCATATGAGGTTATGCGTAATATGATTGACCAGACTCCTGTGATCCTCAGTATGATCAAGGAGGGCATTATAGAGATTTGTGATGAGAGGCCGAGCACTTTCTGCACTGAGTTTGCAGACATGATAGGGACCCGTACGTTGATCTTTCAGGAATTCAGAGTTTGTGAAGCTTCAGATTGTCATGGGGGTTAAAGATCCCATTATTAGCAGCAGATGGTTGGCAGATGTCACCAACACTTTTCATATCAGACGTTGTCTCGAAAGGAGACAAGATCTGACTTACTTCCTATCTCCTAAGAGATAGAGCACGAGATTGATATGAAGAGGTAGGTAGTGAGTGGAGTGATGAAGCAGTTGTTGTTATGTCATCAGATGACTTTTAGACTAGATTGTGGGTAGAGTGTGCCCAGGCGATTGAGGCGCAACAGTTGGCACAAGAGTTGTTAGATCTCCACCATAAGACTGGGACCATGGCAGAGATCACTACCAAGTATTAGGAAGAGCTTACATGGTACCACAATATGCAACGGACGAGGAAATGAAGAAGGTAAGTTATCAGAACATACTGTAGAGTGATAACAGGGAGATCGTGAGTATCTCGGGGTGCCAGACCCTGAATGATATGGCTTCTTGAGCCTGAGGACGAGATATGGACTTGGAGCACATTAGGAAAAGGGAACCAAATCAGTTGTTTATATAGAAGGGTGTCGAGAAGAGACCCAAGATTTCAGATTAGCTTTTGAGAGACCAACAGGACCAGATTCGGTGCAGCACTTGCGGGAGTAGGAGCGTACATCGTCATCTTGGTTTATTCCAAGACTGAGGAGTACCACAAGAAGCACAAGAGGGAGGTCCTAGAGACTTTGAGGATGGAGAGAATTTTTGAAAGGTTCTCTAATTGTGAGTTCTGGTTGCACGGGGTGGAATTTCTTGGGCACCTTGTCAATCAGAAAAATATTATAGTTGATCCGACCAAGATAGAGGCCGTGATGTAGTGGGAGATTCCGAGGTCTCCAATTGAGATTCGGAGCTTCTTGGGTCTAGCGGGTTATTACCGGAGATTTATTAGGATTTTTAGAAGTTGTGTGATCTTTTGGATTAGCTGGTGTTGAAAACACTAGCAATGGTAAGTGTGGTTTCTAGCATATTGGTCATGGGTGGTGAGAAGGATTGAGAATTCTTCCAGTTTTGTGTGTTGTAAGGCATTAGCATAATCCAAGTGGGGGAGAATCGCCCAAGGATTCAGAAGCGAGAGCAGTTTTGAGACTAGGATAAGTTTTACATCCTTGTCCGAAAGGAAGACAGCCCATGTGGCTGTATGGTTCGAGGAGAGTGTGATATGGAAGTTCGGAAAAACTTGCCAATGATGAGATCGCGTTCTCGGAATGTTTGCTAGCAGGCCTTAGCGAATCTGGTTTGGGATTCCATTCAGGATATGAGTTCAGCTGAGTGCGGGTCAAGCACGTGTTCGAACCAGTATAGATAGAGTTAGAGTGTTGTAAGTCTACGGCTGTAGCCGTAGCATTCACCAACAGCCAGATAGTGTTAGAGTGTCGTAAGTCTGCGGGTGTAGCCGTAACATTCACTAGGTTGGTAGATAGCGTGAGTGCGTTGTTAGGACGCAGAAGGATCAGTAGTACCCACCAGTTCGGGTGTAGCAATGAGGATACGGAAATCCACAGATTGGATTTCGGAATTACCTAGACGGATTAGACCTAGTTAATCCAGTGATAAGATGGTAGAAGCGCCACTACAGCTATGAGAGCAAGGAAGCAGTGTACTGCTTAAGGTCATTCATGACACAAGGCTACCAATGGTCAAGTAGCAATCACTTTTAGCCTTGGGTTTGGTCAAGTCAAGATTCAAAATATGGACTCGATCAGTTAGATCAGAAAGTTATTAGAGCCTCAGTGTCATAGTAACTAGTGGCAACTAGTTCTAGAGAAGGAATTCATTCAGAAGTCATGTGAGGCGACTAAGTAGGGAGTCCTTTGGCTCCACAGTCAAATTAGAAACTGGTATTTCAGATTTTTGGCGAAAAAATTGAGACCAGGTGGGTCTCGGTAGATGTTGGAGAGCAGCCATGAAGCAGCAAGATGTTTCAGGCGGTTCAGTGTTTTGGGCAATTCAGTGTTCAGACAAGTTCAGTGTTCAGGTAAGTCAGTGTTTCAGGCAGTTCAATGTTTTTAGGCAGATCAGGGATTCAGATAGTTTTGGGTCTTCAACAGTAGTAGTATTTGATGATCTCATGTATGATAAGCATAACAGATTGCTGAGTAAGTCTTCATCACCCACCATGGGGTTCATCAATAATGATTTAGTATGAGAGGTCTGTCCGGGAATCAGACCATCTTAGGACAACAGATATAAGACAAAGTAGATATAGACTGTTGTGAGGAAACTATTCACTAGTGGAATTTAAAGCCTTGCAAGGTTGGTCATGGCTACTCTAGGCGGGCTAGGGTGTGTGCAGGATGGTGACCATTTTACTAGAGTGGTTGGGCGTGTACGATATGGTAAGGATTGATTTCGAGGATGAAATCTAATTTAAGTGGGGGAGATTTGTAATACCCCGTTTATTTAAATAAATTAATAAATGTAAGTCCGGGATGATTTGTGAAGAATATTAGAAGTCAAGAGTTAAAAGTGTATGTTCAGGACTTAAATTGAAAAGATTGAAGGCTTAAGGGCTTATTAGTAATTTAGGAATCTATTATGAAAGAGATTTTTGTAGAGTAGGGGTTTATTGGTAAATTTCAGACTTTAATTGTAAAGAATTTCAGAAGATATGGTTAAAAAGGTAAGTATGTGTTTTATTTTAAAAAAAGATATCATGGGGAGGGCTAGAATGGTTAAATGGGCAAAGTTGGAGCATGGACACGGGACAACTCCAGTCACCCTCCCTTAATCCATCTATATATACATCTTAAATCACTCAAAACCCTAAACCTAGTCTCAGCCATCGGGTAGAACGTGTCAGCCGCCATCACCGAAATTCCTCTCGTTCTCCAACCGGTGGAAGCTCCGATCAACTGACATCTGTTGCTGCCACCAATTCTTTTTCTCCTCTTCAGTTAGACGTCGCCTGCTGCCAATCGTCGGTGAATCCGTCAGCCGCCTAGCTGCCATTGGTGTCGGAATAACCCCCCCCCCACTATGTCGGGTGTTGCTTCTGTGAACCCTACTGCTACTGTTGCCGCCACTTCGCGACCGGAACGCCACCACCACTTCTGTATTTCTTCAGCTGACTATGTGGTTATTGTGTGGGTGTCGCGTCGGTTAGGGAAGTCGGAGGTTGAAGACAGAGCTGCCATCGTTGTTTCTTGCTAATCGCAAGTCGTGGGCTCCCCCGAACACCATCTTCTAGCCATCACGACACCGCCCTGCTGCCTAATGACCAACGAAGACAAAACGTTGTCGTTGCAAATGTTGGTGCTGCTGTTGTCGCCTCCTCGTGTCACCATCGCCACTGTAGGCAACCAAGTAGGTGGCTGGAGTTCATTTGCAACAGAAAACATATGTGTGGGTGTGTTTATTGCAGTTAAGTGGTGTTTGGGTGTTGTTTAGCTGGAATTCTCAAAGAATAGCCACAACCACCACCTTGAGGTGGTGGCTGCCACCATCTCCCACCACCGGCTGCCACCGTGAGCCGCCATCAACCACCACTACCCAGGGTGGTAGTGGGTGGTGCACCGCTAGTAAACCCTAATGGGCTTAGAGATTGGTTTTGGGCCTATTGGGCCATGTTTGGGTGGAAAACCCTAATTATGAGTATTTGGGCCTTGGACTTATTTGAACCCACATTTGGGCCATAGGGATTGGATTGTGAATCAAGCCCAAACTATCTCATGCCATTTATATAGTAGAATAAAGGACTTAATGGACTAAGTCCTTAATGGGCTAATTGAGAAAATACTAATATTTGAGAAATTATCAGGACACACACACGGGAATTATTTAATAAGTGAAACATTAAATAATAATCATTGGCAGAAATTAATCTAAGCAATAATGGACTTAATGGATTAAGTCCTTAGTGGATTAAGTCCTTAGTGGGTTAAGCCCTTAATGGGTTAAGTGAGAAACACTTAACCCTAATTGTCATTTTATGTGAAACCCTAATGTCACATGGGCCTTAATTTGGGCTTTTCAATTGGGTAATTGGTAATTGGGCCAATAATGGGCAATCCGATAATGATTATGGACTAGAATATTTAGTTAGGCTTTAGTGTAAGGCCCTAATGAAGGATTGGGCCCAATTTGGAAAATTAGGCCATAGATGGGCCATAGTTTGGGCCTAGATGGTTGTATGATATTGGGCCCTTAGAATGAGACATGTTGGACCGGACTGAGCAATTGGGCCTTAAGGGAAGTCCATGTAGAGGTTTCGGCCCAATTTAGAAAATTGGGCCATATGTTGGGCTTTGATTCCAATTTTACTTTGGGCCTAGGGTTTGGACCTTGGGCTTAGGTAAGCCAAGCTTGGGAAATGTAGTAATTATCCAAAGTATGTAATTATAGTTATGTAGTGGAACCCAATTATTAATTAGGTGTTATTTTGATGTTGACAGATCGGGAATCTGTCATCTAGCAGCTGGGGTCGAGTCTGCGGGACTTCAGCAGGGTGGGATTGAGTGTGCAGGACTTCAGCAATGTGAGGTGAGTTTCCTTCCAGTAGGAACGGTTCTAAGACCACAATGTCGGCTCGTTTAATTAGTAGTAGTTGTCGGACCTCGGTCTGATGCAGTAGTTATAATGTTTGACGCCTTCGTGGCTCAGATAGTGTTTATGTGTTATGTGTTCTGGGCTACGACCCGATGCAGTATGCAGTTTATGTGTTCATGCTAGTTGATATGTTTATGCTATGCTATGCTATGCTCAGTTGGTTTCCGGACATCGGTTCGATGCAATTAGTTCCGGACTTCGGTCCGATGCAGGGGACAAGGTCCCAGTCAGTTCCGGACTTTGGTCCGATGCAGTTAGTTCCGCACTTCAGTCCGATGCAGGGGGACAAGGTCCCAGTCAGTTCCGGACTTTGGTCTGATGCAGTTTTCGTACTTCGGTCCGATGCAGTGGGCAAGGCCCAATATGTGTTTATATGTTATTGTATGGTATGTGGTAGTTTGGGGGAGCTCACTAAGCTTCGTGCTTACAGTTTCTGTTTTGGTTTCAGGTACTCAGTTTTCAAAAGAGGAGCTCAGGAAGATTGCAGTGCACACACCATTTGTTCAGCCTGGGATGTTTATACTCTGATATGTTTGACAATTGTTATAATATTTTGAGATACATTGCTTATGATTTCTATATGAGGTTTATTGACTATGGTTTTATCATTAAATTAAACGAAATTTTCAGACTATGTTTTTGGGAGGTTATAGTTGGGCGTACAGAAGGGACTACATTGTGCATAGTGAGGCACGCTAAGTACGTTGGGCATACGCAATTAGTACCCAACCCTTATTTTCGTGGTTTGAGCCGTATTTAAGCTCCTTAACTCCCCCAAACCTACTCCATTCTCAGCCTCCACCCCTCCACCACCCCTTCCATGAAACCCTAACCCTAGTTGAGCCTTGTATGCTAAAAGAAGGTGTTTTTAGTGCTTTGAAGTATGCATGGTGTGCCTTGGAGAAGAATGAACTTCTTAGAGAAGTATTGGTTGCATTGGATCTTGTAGATTTGGACTTTGTTCGCCTTGATATATCTTCTAGAGGTATAAAGTTTGAATCTTGATGATGCATTTGTTAGATCTAACTAGTTTTGGCCTTGTTATGGATAAATTTGGAAACTTTATCCATCTAAACATCATTTTGATTCAGATATGAAAGTTGGAGACTTGTACTTAATGGATTAAGTTGAAAAAGATGAACTTTTAGGTACCTTTGAGTCTTAAAGACTATATCTTGTTTGTTGGGATCATTCTATTGGATAAAGTTGGAAACTTTATCCTATATAAAGCTATTATGAACTATAAAAATGTGATCTTGGCCCTTTTATCCCTTCCATGCAAGAGTTGTGATGTCTTCTTGGGTTAAGAACTTAGGGTTTTGGACATTAAGCACTTTATAGACATGCAAAGTCAAAATGTTGGAAACTTTATGACTTAGGACATCATTTTGGGCTTCGATCTGAGTTTTAGATGTAAGAACTTAATGGAATAATCCCTTAATGGAGTTTTAGGATTGGGCTACACACGTTGGGCGTACCTGGTAGTAACATGTACGTACACGGCCAGCGCCTTGCTTTTGGTCAACATCAGAGTACGTTAGGCAAACTCTCTTGGTACGCAAGGCGTACTCCGCTAGGAAGAGATATTAACTTCTGGACCTTGACTGTTAACTTTGACTTTGACCATGCTTGACCAAGTTTAGTCTATGGGTATTTCGAGATTTTGATTGTGATTGATCACTTAGATGGTTAGGTGTCGGTTGGAGTTGAGATTCAGAGTCGGGGCCTCATCAGCTATTGATCAGACAAAGAGGTGAGTGTTCCTCACTGTACTTTTGGGTCGAAGGCACCAAGGTCGGCCCATTAGATTGTTATATTGTTTTATCGCATGTTGGTATGTTGTAGTGACCTGTTAGATCTGTATCCTGGTATATAGGATGATGTTATGCTTAGTGCACTGTAAGATCTGCCCGAGTGTCTATTGACTAGTTATATGTTTAGTTGTGTATATGTCAGCGTGGTGTGGGTGGGTTGAGACTGTATTGTAGAGCTCAAAATGTGTTGTGAGATATCAAAGCGTCTTTTGTCATGTTTTGTGTCGAAGTCGGTTTCATGTATTCATTGTATGTATTTCATAAGGGCATTTTTAGAGGTCGAAGCTTACATGTCTTAGCCCTTATGTACTTCTTGTTTACTTCTGGCGTTCCTATAAATAGGGATAGATAGAAGGGTTAGAATAACTTTTGGCAATTGGTGTACTTTACTCTTTCATTCACTTGTATCCTTCCAAAAGTATTTATAGAGCCAAGTAGATTATATTTACAATTTGTGTTCTTGATTCAATTCATACTTTGATTTCACTCTTACACTCAATTCATACGAACTTCATTTGGTATCAGAGCACGATTCTTTCAGTTGATTTCTGATTTTCTCATAGTTTCAAAAGTTTTTGAATTGATGTTTTAGATTCAAAAATATTACGCACATTTGATCTAGAAAATCTTTTCTGATCAACTGGTTTGATTCGATTTTGCTTTTCGTTTGAAAATTTGAGTGTTCGTTGATTGTTTTCTAAAAGATTCATTCATTAGATTCTTCTTTCTGAAGCTTTTCATCACTTTTGTCCGTACATTAATGGCAAACTTCTACGTGAAGACAATGACTGGTTTCTCTCATCTTCTCAGTTCTTCAACCAAAATTCTGATGTTGATTCTTGAATATTACGAGCAATGGGTGGACAGAATGGAAGATTATATCAATTGGGATCGATAAAGATCTGTGATGCTGCATTACAAGTGGGGAATTATCGTCCAGAGAGGCTAGAGCAGATTGGAACTGTTGGTTCATCTGTTGATGTTTCACTACAAGCAGAGAAACAATAGACAAATGATAAGAAATGATTGTGTGAACTTCGTAGTGCTCTTCCCTCGGTGGTTTACAATTATGTTTGTGGTTGCAAAACAGCAAAGGAGATTTGGGATACTTTCAAAGAGAAGTATCAGGGAAGTGAGAAGATAAGAAAAAGTTTAGTGAAGCAGTGTTTTCTCGAATTAGGTGAATTCAAACAGAAGGAAAATAAGTCCATTAAACTGTACTATGATCATCTGAATGAATTAATCTTCAAATGCAGTCATTATGGGGTTAATTGTTTGACTCTTGAGTACAATATTACTTTCTTAATGCGACTTCAAAAGGATTGGAGTAACATTATTTTGATGATCAAGACACAACAAATCTTTGATAACTATTTGCTGGGAGATCTCTATAATGTTCTAAAAGCTCATAAAAGTGAGATCCACTTAATAGCTGAAGAATGAAAAGTGAGTTTCGAAGGTCCTCTTGCATTGGTTTCGAAGGTGTCAGGTAAAGAGTCTGAAGTCGAATCTGCTGATATTGATGGTTCTGGTGATGAGGGTTTTCTCATGAATGCGGAAGATGAAGTTGTGGCATACTACTCTAATAAGAAAGTCAATAAATTCTTCAAGAAGCCATTCAATTTGAAGTTCAAAGGAAACAGTGATTTCAAGGGAAACTCATCATCTGGGAAGAATGTTAGATAAGAGTAGAAGGTTGAGAAGAAAGAGGTTAAGGTTACTAGTGAGAAGGTGGAGAAGATGTTGAAAGGAGACTCTAGTTTTGATTGCAACTATTGTAATGGTTCAAAACATTTGGCAATTGACTGCATGTTAAGGAAAAGAGGGGAGAATAATGATAAAGTGAAGGATGAAGCCTATTATGTAGAAAGGTTGGAGGAAGTGAGAGCAAGGACGAAGGAGATGTCGCTTGTCGCAAAAGGAAATGGTGATTGGGATGACACTTATCAAATTTGGTCATCTGGATCAGATGACGAAGA